GTAGTAGTAGGGTAGTGGTAGTGGTAGTAGTAGGGGTAGGGGTAGTGGTAGGGGTAGTGTTGGGAGTAGTGGTAGGGGGTAGTGGTAGTGGTAGGGGTAGTGGTAGGGGTAGTGGTAGGGGTAGTGGAAGGGGTAGTGGAAGGGGTAGTGGTAGGAGTAGTGGTATGGGTAGAATTAGTAGAAGTGTGGCACAGGCCGATCCAATGTGACGTGGTGACCTATACGACCTGGCCTGACCGAAGGTGACCTGGCCTGACCCAGTGTGACCAGGAATGACAGACTTGACCTGACTTGACCCCGTATGACCCAAATTTTATCAAACTAAGCCATCAGAATATTCATTTATATATCTGCTTCCAGACGGCTCATCGGTATGAATTCAAAAGCAAACTGGCTGCTGCGTCTTTTATGGCTACGCCGCGAAGCAAGTGGCGCAGCCGCTTGTCTACTATACTATTTGTGAAATGAAACTCTGTCTGTTTGCACCGTGCAGGGGGTGCTTTGACGCCGTGCACAGGTCAAACGGTGCGGTCGATGGGGCTGAAATTTTCGCAGGGTGTTGATGACGTCACGGGCACGTGCAGTGGCGTGTTTCGAGTCCCGGGGGGTAGATGGGTCGCACGTGGCACGCGCTGGAAGAAGGCGCTTTTTCTCCTAATTTTGCTCGGTTTTCAAGGCATCGGCAGCCGGGTTCGATGAACTTTGCAACTAAAATGCATGGCAAGCGGCGGCAGGTGCCTCTAATTTGCGGATTGACAGCTTATTTATTTTGCTAAACAGAGGCGAATGAAGGTGTTGATTACCGGTAAATAAAGACAGTTTTCAAGGTGCTGACACAAATGCAACGCGCTTGCCGTAATGCGCCACATTTGTCCACATGCGCTATTTTTGCCGCAAATCGCACAACTTTGTCAAATATGGTCCGATAAAGGTGCAATTCGCTGGAAGGATGCATGGCAAAACGACAATTATAAATGCACCACTTTTGTTGCAATGCGCCACATTTGTCACAAGGCGCCATTTCCACCAAATACGATAAAAAATAATGGAGTGACACGTGTAGGAGCAGTTTTAAGAACTTTTTTTTATTTTATCAGTTTATCTGATAGTCTGTGACCTCACATGACCCAGTGGTAGTGGTAGGTGTGGTGGTAGTGGTAGTGGTAGTGGTAGTGGACAGTGGTAGTAGTAGTGGTAGGAGTAGCGGTAGGGGTAGTGGTAGCAGTAGGGGTAGTGGTAGGGGTAGTAGTAGGGGTAGTGGTAGGGGTAGTGGTAGGGGTAGTGGTAGGGGTAGTGGTAGGGGTAGTGGTAGAGGTAGAGGTAGGGGTAGGGGTAGTGGTAGGAGTAGTGGTAGGAGTAGTGGTAGGGGTAGTGGTAGTGGTAGGGGTAGTGGTAGGGGTAGGAGTAGTGGTATGGGTAGAAGTAGTAGAAGTGTGGTACAGGCCGATCCAATGTGACGTGGTGACCTATACGACCTGGCCTCACAGAAGGTGACCTGGCCTGACCCAGTGTGACCAGGGATGACCATCTTGACCTGACTTGACCCCGTATGACCCAAATTTCATCCAACTAAGCACTCAGAATAGTGATTATGTTCAAAATTTTCCTCTGCACGTTTCCGTCCATATCTCTGCTTCCAGACAACAGACCAATTTAAATCAAACACCATTCGAAAGCAAATTGGCTGGTGCGGCATTTTCTGGCTACGCCGCGAAGCAAGTGGCGCAGCCGCTTGTCTATATTACTATTTGAGGAGGGCGTAGTTTCTGTCTATTACGAAGGTCGCGACATGGTGCTACGTAGCGCGGGTTACAGGTCACACCGTTGCACCTACCGCGCTGAAATTTGCGCAAGTTATAGAACAAGGATGGACAACGTGCCTTTGAGCGGTCTCGGCTCGATCGGATCGATAGCGAGCGCGTGGCGCGTGCCCAAAAAGTGCAAATTCGCGTCATAGACTTTACATGTATAAATCGGCTGGCAAAAACGGGCGAAAATGGCTAAATTTGCCCGACACGGGTCCGTTCCCCGTGCAATATCTCGGTAGCCGTGCGCCCGATCGGCACGGGGAAAACAGCATCGTGTAGAGAATCGAACGGGCAATCGAATAGTGTGCGGTGCAGGGGTGGCACGCGCCACGTGCAAGTGTGAGGGCAATTTCATTTCAAAAAGTGCCATTTTAAACGGATTTTGGAATTTATATTAATTTCAGGTGATCGTCAGACGGAATGAGTTGAAACAGCGCCTATTAGCAATAAAAATGTACCGCCTCTCATGGAAAAATTGTGGACAGCTAATTGATCAAAAACAATGTGGAAAAATCGCTGAATTAAAATGGTATTTGTCCATAATGTGCCACTAAAAAGATACACGGGATTTGCTGCTTAACCTGATACGCTTGACAATTGAAAATGCTATCATTAGAAAGAGCATTCAATTCTCTCCAAGATCCAATCATCACGTTTGCATGACAAGCAACAGTATTCTTAAAAATATAAATGTTTTAAACCTCTGCAAAACGATTTTTAGCGAAAATTATCTACGCCTTTCATTTGTCTTAAAACTACGCACCTCAATTATAAAGCACATTTGACAGATTCTGAAGTGGAAAGCATGCTTATCAGACACGGGCACCTCGATGCGGTGGATATTTTTTCCACAAACCAAAACGTTTAGCCGTCAAAAAGCAATCGACCGAAATGGATAGATAACCCAACCGACACAAGAACAACCGAACACCCGCCGATCGAAAATATCCCTTTTCGCGTTGCGGAGCACGCGGGTCACCCTAGTTCTAGACCACTTGGAAACGTAGGAGTGCCCGCGGCAGGACACTCGGCAGTCGGCACTCATCCACTGTCGCCTGGTAACGGAGGAGTGCCCGCGGCGTCTGTGGACCTGAGGAATGCCACTCGGGAGCGGCACCGTCCATATTAGGGTGGCCGAACCCCCCCCCCCCCACCGGCCCCTACGACCCCGCACCTGGCCATTGGTAGTCTCCAGAGAGGCGCGTTATTGAAGCATGCAGCTGCTTAGTGCTGAGTGTCGTATGCTGACATTGGGTGTAATGCACTCGGCAACAGAGTTAGTTGGGGAATTCGTGGTAGCTTTCCGACCGTTCAGGTTCGGTGGTGACCCGGTGATAGGCAATCGACAGGCGTCTCTGAGCAGTAATGCTGAGCTCTCTGACGATGGGTCTGAGCTCATGACTATGGTGCCAGGGTCTCTAACCCCATACCACTGCTGCTGGATTTTGGTTCGGTGCCTCAGCAGATAATGTCTCTGATTCTCACACAGGGCCTCTGGCCTCGTGTCTCGGACACTGGGGAGGGGAGAAGGGCGGCATGAGGACCTCGGCCCCTCGGCTGACCGGCCAACGGCCGTCTATCGGTTCATCTCAGGGCGAGTGTAGCAAGGGCCGTACCCGGGAGCTCGATCAGAGCACTCAGTGGGATTACCGGCAATCCGTAGACTAACAGGTGGGCGGGCGGCGGAAAATGCATCTTGAACGCTACCCACGGAGGGATCAGGCATTTTTCTACTTGAATAAGCTCACGCCCCGAATTTCACAAGGCGTGCGCATTACCACAACGAAAAAGAAGCTGATCCAGATTTAGCGTCAGTCATAAAGATCCCACACGGTGCATTGCTATGACGCAAGAACCCGGCGTCTAAGGTTATATGATATATCCATACTAATATGGTAATAATGTTTATTCTGCTGTCAGATTAATTGTGCTTATCGTTTAAAGCATTACCAAAAGTAATCCCAACTTCATTCATAACTTCCTTTACTACCGGCTTTGGAAATAACTTGATGTTGTTCATGGCGCTATCGGCACTGATTGCTTCACTGCTTCACTGCTTGCACTGCTTCATTTCGCAGATTTTCAAAATATACTATCGTTAAAATGCATAAATTATACCTTCGTTTCTTATCATCCGAATTACAACATAAAGCTTTATTACATCCTTCCCTTTCTAACGTAAAACCTTGTGACCGCGAACCTTCACTACCGAGCCCAAAATGCCTAAACGTCACATGAGAACACTTGCGTTGATGACATTCAGATACCGCAACGTTTCCACGCTGGACAGCCGAGCGTTATGCGACTCAGGCAGCCCACCAGAGTTCCCGGTCATCGCTGCCAACCACAGTCCTATGGCCATGTGAGGTGGTATGGTCGAACCACGTCATCGGCTCAGCCACAGAACAACAACGTTGACATAGGCTTGAGAGGCATATCGTGTAGTTGAAAATTGACGGCTGATTGTGTTAATAAAAAGTGAAAAAGTCGGTGTGTGCACAATACACATGAAGTAATGATGGTAATCACCTATAGATGGCGTGGTGAGACGAGCGTCTTTCAGCAAAATGATTATGATTCCTCACGAGTTCCTGAGTGTGTTCTCGGCACATGATCTCATTCGCAAGATGCCTGTACAAAAAATAGTCCTAAGCGTGATGCCATTTACGGCAAGAAATATTCCATTACAACTTAGCCGAGTCAAAAACAGATCTATGATGATTTCTCTTCCGCCATACCCAGTCCCAACTTAAGTGGGGAAGTCGCCATCTCTATATTCTTTTGAACTCATCACGACTTTGCCTTGGAGTTTCAAGTCACATCCTAGGCGCATTCCCCCTCTGGGCTTACCTCGGACGTCCTGTGCACGCCGCATTTGCATCCACCTCGGACGTCATGTGTCATATCGCAGTGGGACCTAGTTCGAACGTCCCGAGCCATGTCGCAGTTGGACCTTACCTCGGACGTCCTGTACCATGTCGTAGCGGAGCCTTACCTCGGACGTCCTGTGTCACATCGTAGGTGCATCCTCCCTCCTGACTTACCTCGTACGTCCTGTGTCATGTCGCAGTTGGACCTTACCTCGGACGTCCTGTGTCATGTCGCAGTTGGACCTTACCTCGGACGTCCTGTGTCATGTCGCAGTTTGACCTACCTCGGACGTACTGTGTTAAATCATATCGTTTCACTTACCTCGGACGTCCTGTGTCATGTCGTAGCGGAGCACAAAGGTGACCCGCTCGCCGACCTCCTGCTGGCCCTGGATCAGCAGAAGAGGCCGCTCGTGCAGCGCCAAGACCCTCTCTGGGGACACACAGAGGGCCATCGCGGGTGTCAATAGGAGAAAGGGCCGGTTAATAGCGGGGCATAGATGACGCAGTGGCTAAGAGCAATCTTGATCAAAATTTCGGAAAGTAAGTTTTTGGATATTTTATACAAAATAGCCCACATCACATCCACAGCCATAGAGGAGACATCCCACCTAAATTTCAATAACACGTACCAAATTGCCAACATCAATAACGGCAATGTGTGTGTCTTTCCCAATGTCAACCCACAACGCGTTGCGCCAACAAACAATAGAACAATCGATTGAAACATCCTTTCACTCTTCTGAAGGCATTGGTAACGACAAAACAATGAGTCGTTACCCATTTCAATCCTCAACAGATACTGAAGGCGCCATAAAACGGTTAAGGTCAGACATACAACCTTTTATAACACGATTGAGAACCTTCGACTTTCACAAGTATCTTTTCCAAGTACAATGTCAAAGGTCATGAAAGCCAGAAAAGTTAGGCACCTTGGAGTTTTATGGATGACATTGATGGGTTAGAGTAGCCAGAAACGGCACAACGGCGACAATGTTCATCATTATAAGGACTGGGAATATTTAGTTTTTTTTTGTTTTTAGTTTGGACACAATAACGAAACAAAACAAGTTTGATTTGACCCGATAAGTGCAGCTGTAAAAAAGTTCACGTCACGCCAGGCTGGCCGGTGCTGTGTGTAAAAACACGAATGGTACCCGTTTTTATATCCACTGTTTTAAACATAACTGCGGCTATACTATGCTCAAATAAACTTAAATGCAACTTCGCTGTAGCATTTAGGCTCATGCCCAAAGGGTGTTCCCTCCGTTATATCAAATATTACTACGGGTGCCAATTTTGGACATTGTTGGTGAGCGAGGTTACATTTCGTCATAATTCCTTGCCATAATTCCTTGGGAACGACTGGAGTGGCAGTGACTAATTCCATACCCACGTAGGGACTCTGGTAATCACATTACTTATCTGAAGTGGGCGCAAGTACACACTTAGATCAGGGTCTCACATTACATTTCTGTAACGATCCGGCGCAGCTCGTCAATATGCACCCAATAGCAGTTGGTAACAAGGGCCCAACACAAATTATGCCGAGGAGGATACCTACTCGTCATAGCGTGTGATACGTGCGCCCCTACTCGCCAATTGCTCTCCTCCCACGACATGACAAACATGATCGGATCATGACATAAAATTACAGGGACCCGATAACGATATAACATGCACCAGAGAGAGGGGTATGTAAACACGAATAGATTAAGGCAAATATAATAGCTAAACAAAATAGCTGAGCACGTAACCGATTACATTTTTCGCAATGACCGGGCCGCCATGTCGTGCTCGGCCAGCGCGGTATCCGGTTTCAGTGCTGTGTGCGTCACAGACTTCTGGCTCCGTTTTTCACAGACTCCAGGGTTATGAGTTATGACTTGTGTTTGTTACAGACCGATAGCTGAACCCGTGTCGATCCCTACCGATATGGTGTTACAGACTTACCGCCGATGTGGTGCTGAAGGTGTTATGGCCACAAAAACCGGCCGACAGTGTCAGGCGACAGGGTAGCCTGGTACGAAATGGAGTGTCGTGTTGAATGATACATTGCAGTTTCTTTGTTATAAAATGCAGATATGCCCACACTACCTGCTTTGAACATGCTAGCTATGCTTTTTATTTTATTTCATTATCTTTTTTTATTTTGCTGCTGAGCTATAGAAACATTGACAATCAGCAGTATTGCAAGCAGTAATATTGGATACACATACTGCATACCAACTTGGTGTCACGTTTGAACTTACTTGTCTTGAACAGAATTACCAAGAGAAAATGCTCTCTCTCTCTCTCTCTCTCTCTCTCTCTCTCTCTCTCTCTCTCTCTCTCTCTCTCTCTCTCTCTCTCTCTCTCTCTCTCTCTCTCTCTCTCTCTCTCTCTCTCTCTCTCTCTCTCTCTCTCTCTCCCTCTCTCTCTCTCTCTCTATCTCTCTCTCTCTCTCTCTCTCTCTCTCTCTCTCTCTCTCTCTCTCTCTCTCTCTCTCTCTCTCTCTCTCTCTCTCTCTCTCTCTCTCTCTCTCTCCCCCTATATTCCTCTCAGAAGTAAATAATTTGTTCCACTCCGTATAAATGAGACGTTCATCACAATACAAGGGGGCCGAGACACAGACCATCAGCTGGCGTAGAAACGGGAATTGCTTTCCTCCCGCACACTCCTTGAGCAGACATCAGCCTCAGCCGGCCGGCTGGCAAGAACATACGAGTAGGTATACACACAACACGTCTAATGAGAACAGACCAAATCATCGTCTGGCAGAGTCTCGAGTACACGGAGAGCTCTTCAACACTCATATGACTCTCTGACAGACGTTCAATGAGACAGCGCCCAGACGCAGTGCGACGAACGGTTCCACAAAATGGGACGCGCTCCTGCTGCAAGGTCCGTGTTGCAGCTGAGGGAGTTGGGAGAAATGTCTCTGATGTGTATTGCGACTGACAGTGATGGGACACCCAGACAGTTGGTAGCAGATCGAGTGAAATGGAACAGCTTTCAACAACGACTGCTGGCGGCAGATATTGTGAGATGCTCAACGATAATTGGAAACCCAAGTCCGCTGGTAGAAAGATGAGCTTCCTAAAAAGTTCAAACTTTTCTTTATATTTGCTATATATTCCAAAGGCATTATTTTAAAATATCTTTCATAGGAAATAGTCACGACATAATCCTACAGCCTACTGCACATGCTAAATAATCCAGTAATTTAGATTTCACAATATCCAATGAAAATAAAAGACTCCATTTCCACTGAGATTTGGAAAGAAATTACATATAAAACGCCTAGCTGCCGCCTACCAAGAGACGGATGGCTGCGGCGCGGTAATCTTTCTCACGTCTCAGAGGTTCATGGGGCCTGAACTGACCCCGCCTGACCGCGCGGGCGTGACCTCTGACCTCGCGGTCACAGGCTCACCACACGAGCCGTGCTAGACCGGCCTGCTCACACGGTGTCATTTAAAGCCACCAGAGGCGTTTGATATGGGTGTAGAGTCACATGGTTTACCTACGAAGAAGTAAGAGACACGTGAGCACGTGTAGACTTGTAGAGACATCCAGGCCAAACACTCGGGATTTTGAATATAATCACGCAAACGTCTGGGCCCGCTAAATAACAATTCTCGAAATTAATCTAGTACTTGCACTATTGAAACAATAACCATCGTTATCTTATTCTTTTTTATTTTCGCCACGCCGACACTAACAAACATTATTTGATGGATTTCTTTGTCTATAATAATGAGGTTCCCTGAGCTTTCAAAATGACGAACTCAGATGCCACCATGACGACCTCTGCTCCAAATCGAGGCCGTGATTGGATCGTTACGGCCAATCTGTCTCACATAGCTGTGTGTTCTCGATAACAACGTCCCCTTCCGCACGGGCACACCCTCCCTTAGAGCCCCTGAGGTGCTACATCTCACCGATTTCACACGGCGTCCATCACAGGTCGCCTCACCGGCCAGGGAAATTGGTTCGTTAGGCGGGCCCAGCCACGACAAACGACGCTTTTAGCCGCGTCAACCGACCGGCGAGAGACATCGTCGACCTCGACGATTGCCAGTTCCGGCCCATTTCGACGGCTCGTTGGCGTTCGAAAGAGAGGGTAAGAGCGCAGCGATGTACGAGACAGCTGAAACTCCTGTCTAGGTGTCGGTAAATCGTAGTGAAACCACACGACGGAACGGCTGACGACGTCGCCTCACAGTGTAGACCAGCGAGCACGGTCTCAGTCCCCGACGATCATACGAGTTACCGTCGACAGCGTGGGAGGACGGCACCGGCTGAGCTGTCTGTAGCCGGTGATGAGACCTAGATAGACGTGGTCAGTGGTCACTGAACCTGAGATTATGGAGTCGCGATAGGCAGCCTCAGAAATGCGGTGGGCAGGGATGGGGGATAGGCACAACTGTCAGTCAAGGGAGAAATTGACGGATGATCGGTTTTCGAGTGGTGGATCTTGTAGAGTGTTGGTAAACATGAAGGTTCATTGCTGGTGGCATCAGGCGTTCAAAATGAAAGCGCCGCAAGTGAATCAAACGGCTGTTGTGAAACGATCGAAGTGAAAGTGTTTCCTAAGCGAAGGAACTCGGAACATTTGTCTGAATGGTCACACACCAGCCATTTGCTGTTGTTGGTAGACTCGGGTTTGCTCACAGCGGAGCATCATCAGTCTTTGTCGAGTGTTGAGCAAGAGAAGTACGTGTAACGTTTGTAAACTGTATGAAAACACGCCGTTGTATGACGGATGACGCAAAATATCGAATGTGCTGTAATTTAAACGTCATGTTTTTTGTAACAAGACGAGACATAAGTCACCAGACCTCAACTGATTGTAATGTGTTCATGTAAAAACCAGCCGCTATTTCATTAATTCTCCACTCTCTAATCCATATTACTCCACTGCTACAGTTGTTATAACATTACATAATTGTATCAACGTAACTGGGCGTCCACTCAACTCCACTCTGCAAACCGTTTGAGCTACGTTCTCACGCTCGGGTGCCCTCGATACCAAGCAATTACACTTGCACTGGTCCGTTAGAATAGACGCATCGTCAATTTCTATGCGGAAAAAAACCAGCATGCATGCACGACTTGTGCGTGCACGGGTGCACGCTATGCGCACGTGACTCACAGACCGCATTTCCCCTCGTACACGCTCATTGGCCGGTCAGGTCGGTCGGTGAGACTCGGGCCCGACCTGCGTGCCGTGCCGTCTGCCCCGCACCTTCACGTTTTTCGGTACCGTTGTCGCGGGCCGTCTGGCCTGAGCAGTGACCAGGTCACGATCGTATCGGCAGCAGTAGAGGTCAGAGGAAGGAGTGGCAACACACCGGTGTCCTCGGGGAGAGATAGATGCGTCACGCGTCAACCTTTCACGGCTACAGCTGACGTTATCAGTGCGAGGGTAATTGAGTTGATGTTCGACCTTGATATCTTTTTACCAGCATCAGTGTGGTGAAGTCAAATTTCGGGTAGCTGTGGCGGTGGGTGGTCGAACACTGACGGAAATGAAGTGGGTTACATTTTTGGAAAATGGGAAGGTGACGTCCCACAACCTGTATTCGATTTCAGGCATCGGCCATTAAACGTAAAGAAGTCAGAGATCGTTGCAGCATCAGAGGCATGTCTGCAAGACAGGCTCAGTTTAATCTACCTCTGAATTCCCCATTCAGGACAGAGTGTCTATATTGAGCAGAGGAAAGATAATGAGAAATATGATGATGAGCTATGATACAGGCGTTGCGTAACCTGTCATTACCTTCAGATTGGATATAGTTAGGGTTACTATGAATACACTGTGCGATTACTAAAACATAGACAATCAGTACGTACACCGTATATCTACCTAAGCCATATTAATTTACGGCTATATACGGATCGTGAAAGGAGAATTCGAACAACAATAGAAAGTACATGCGCTACATTGTTAGTGCGTCACTGCAATGCGTCAGAAGTGTCAATAACAGGATCTCGAAACATTAGACAACCTGGACATCAGCAGTAGCCGCCACAACGACAAAATAGAACAGGTCCGGTTCGTCGATGAGCACGCAAGCTAAGCGCACACAGGTCTGTAAAATTAGCGACGAATATTTTCGGGAAATCATTGGAATGTTACGTGACTGAATGCATTTCAGAATTATCCATAACAATCAAGAGGAGGCATATAATTTGAAGAGAGCTTAACTAAGATGCATGGAAGTTTTTATATGAGACCTAATTATGATCTTTTCTTAGCTTGACTTACTGACGAGTGTTACTTTTTGCTGAATAAACTAGCATAGCAATAAGATGACTTGAATGTTTGTGGGTAGGTAGGTTAGATACGTAGGTATAGCCTAAAAGGATCAATATGTCGGTTCATTTTTATTGCTTCTCTAAAATCAAAATTAGAATACTCGTATGTGCGCTGTTCTAAGGTCAATCAGCATTGCATTGCATTGCATTACGGTTACTTGCAAGGCATAATGTGAACATTACTAAAAATCATCTTCTTATTTTTACCAGTATAACGCCTTTTGGGGCGACTAACGGAGCGAGCGAGAGGGTGAGCCTTGCACGTGCGAAATTTCGAGGGGGTACCTCCAGTTGACTTGTGCACTGCACCCTACTAACCGGTCTCTAGCGATGTGCCGAATTTGAGCACAATCGGCCCAGCCGTTCTCGAGATCTGGAAGCGGCACCCTGCACGTGCGCACGTGCAAAATGGGTCCCAACTGACTTTTGCACGGCAACCTACTAACCGGTCCCTAACCATGTACGAAATTTGAGCGCCATCGGTCCAGCCGTTCTCGAGATCTGGAATCGACCCCTGCACGTGCGCACGTGCAGCAGCACACCAACTCTGGCACATGGATATGCATTGCCTAGTGGGTGCCTACCTACATGCCAACTTTCAGCGCAATCGGCCAAGTGGTTACGGAGATATTGCAACAATTACAAAAGTGACACCTCTTCGTTTTGCACGTGGCACGTGCATAAGGGGTCACCCACATGCATCGGGAATAGTCCAATACTTGGTAGAAGGAATGAAGCTACCCTACAAAAATTACCGCGTGTAAATCGGTCAAGTGGTTGCTGAGATACAAGCCTCGCAAAAGCGTGACCACGGCCGGCCGGCCGGCCGCTCATACTCAGAAATTTCCGTTAATCTAAGGAAAGACTACGCTCGCTTCGCTCGCTCCGTAATAAGACAATGTTATTTCCGTATCGATTTAACCTTATTTTACAGACTGATCAAAATCAATCATTTTAGGAGGAGTAGGTAATAGGTATAGCTCCAGGGTTATGACGTAAGACGCATCATAAAGCAGACCGTTAATGTCATTAAAACAGTCATTAGTATAGTGATCAGCAGTTAACAAAGGGAAACGATGCGTGACTTATGGAGTTCGAGCGTTATTGGCCGACTTCGGCCCCATGAAAACCCATAACCGCACTTTGATCGGGCCATTCGCGATCGTTTCAACCATTCTGGAGAGCGATGCCGTCGAAATAAATGGAAATGTCCAATATTCATGGCGGGATTTAAATGAAAGCGGTTGCATCAGCCGACAAGACCGTACGTTACACAGTTTTAATTACAATCATTTTAAAAAAGTATGTTAGGTCAGAGACCAGACAAACAGAATATATGCGAATCACCGGTCTGCAATTAACTGAAACCAAATCAACAATTTCAATTTCTAGTCAGGTTTACCATTTTTTATAAGAATAACTATGTTTGCAAACAGAAAACGAAACAAATAATGCAAAGAAACATATTTGGGTTTAAATATTGTCCTGAAAATATTATTTCAAACTGATCTGCAATGCGTGAAACTAGGAGGAGTAGTCTTTCCATGTTGTACCAAAAATCAATGGTTGTAAACATTATTTCGAACAGAGATCGAACCAAGATCGATTGTTCTGTCTGTTCAGGAGACAGGCACGTCAGTATCGGCAGATTAATTGCATGGACACTGGACAGTCAATTAAGCGGCCTGCATTGATTATCGTTCATGGATTACGAGTACTTCCTGTGGCGAGCTATCCTGCATACGGCCGGAACGGTCGGAAAAGGCAAACGCCAGGGCGAGTAAGTGATCATGGCGATCTTTGATCTGCGTTACCTATGCGATCAGACATTGATCTCACTCACTGCAGCAACAATTCCCCAGCATATGAGGCTAATTCATAATTGGTCTGCCGCCAACGAGGATAGAGACGCCATGGCCATCTGTCGGCTGCTCCCGGACCTGGGAGCTAAACTGGCCTGCCGGTGAGATAAGAGACGTGAAGACCACGGGCACTGGGCAGCTGCCACCTCTCTTCGGGAGCGGATGTTGCACTCAAACGTAAAACGGTGACTGGATGTGGAGGGACCGGTGATTGGAATTGCAGGCTCGCTATGGGACCAATCTGGTCGGAACTCGGACAGGGCCCGTCGTGTCTGGTTCGGGTGTAGGTGGTTGTATTAGTCGTGGTAAATCGACAATCGATATCTCCACTCAGGGCATGCTAGTTTTCTTGCGCTGCACAGGAAGCAAAGTGAAACAAATGAAGGGTAAAAAAACACCGTCTGCTCCACTTTGTTATTCTTAACAAGTACTCGCAAAGGCAGGTAGACCTGGGAACTTCGTTGGTGCACTACTCCGGACCGTTTCCATCTGCTCCTGGGGTGTACTCGGTGGTAAAGTTAAGCACTGAAAGTTAAGCGGTCTCTGAAGTTAGAGCACCGTTCTCTGGGAGCAGCCGCAGGCGCAGACCCCGCCCTCGATCGACACTCGGCAGGCTATTCCCACCAGAAATAGAACAGGATGTGGCATAGCACCCAGATCCCAGCACTGCCCGCTTTTTCCAAGCTCAGTCGGAAAGAACCACATTGAAAGGTTTTAAGTCCGCTCTTGCCACAACATCAAACATACATATACGTAACGCTCGAAGCGGTGAAAAAAAAATCGCTGGAACCCTGGGAACAGTTGAGTGGTATGCACCTGTTTATAAGCATCGCTTGTTGTCAGTCGTGTACGACTCGCTTCGGCACTCGCATAAATTTGGTCATACACTTTCAGTTAAACTTCTTCAATCTTCAAACTCTACCAGCGTCGTTAAGTCGCACCCCATACTTCATAATGGCCCACACGGTAACAGTACAGCACCCAACAACAATCACCAGCCGGTCGTTCCCCCAGCGAAAAGGGAATCGAATCCTTGGTGAGTGACTACTACAACTGACCGGATTCGTGTCCATACGTGAGCGGCGAGCGCAGACGAACCGCAGCGAGCGGTTGGAGCGACCTGACGAAGCAAATCTAATAGAGCCAGACCATTTATTTCCGGGCAGCGGTGCAATTTAAATGTTAATTTTCTTCTATCCACAGAATTCCAGTGATGAGGCTTCCGATCAATTTAGTGCCGAAGACCACTGAAACAGTGAGTAAAAATAATTTTCGAAATACCCACAGCTACTATAATTAGTCAATAATGGCGAACTGTGTCAGCCGCAAACCTCACAAGTCAGGACTCAGGACCAAAAACAATCGCGTCCCCAAAACGTCAAAGCTCTTATCGCCAAAGTAGGCATCGAGTGCAAATGGCTAGTTGGCGGTTGTGTAACGCGTCTGTTCCGAAACATCTTCCTGCCAGACTCAACGTTTCTCACGCATTTATGAGCTGCTACTCACATGAAAAGCAGGCTGTCTGTAAGATTATTTGGCTTGAAACTCACTACCAAAGGCGGCGCATCGCCTGGTGTTGCTACGGCCAGCTAAAAATGCTAACACCATGCCTGCTATGCGTTCCCGGCCGGTCAGCCCACCTCATTATGCATGAGGGGCCGGCTCAGGAGGGCCTGTGACGGCATAAGAGAGTCAGACCGATTCAGGAGCCTGTGACGCCATTAGAGACCGAATCAGGACAGTCTGTGACGCCATAGGTAGCCGAGTCAGAGCTCTGCCTCCGCCCTGTCGCGGCAGTGAGCTCTGAATGTTGACTGTGGAGCTCAAAATTAGAGTTCATGTCAATCCACCTCCGAGCCATCCTTAGGTGGTCATGTATTTAATTAGGAACGGACTCACCTCCGTCGCGAGTGGTCTGTGTCAGCGTGCAGAAGGGCTCGTCCGGGTCGCGGCAGCACTCGATGACGTCACGCGCAGTGGTCTCCGGTGTCAGCGGCACGCACTTGACCTCGCCCTCGTCGAGCACGACGCGCACGATCGCCTGCGGACAGCACAGGCAGCGGTGCTGACACCTGGCGGGTAACAGCGGAAACTGGCGGGAGACTGTCCGTCGGGTGGCGCTAGCTGACAGGGCGGCCTTCGTCCGGGCAGAGCGATAGAATGTGGACAAAAATGGTAAAATAGGATTTAAACAGAGCAGGTGAGCAAGTATTGCACTTTTAGGATAAGACACCTGTTAGAGCATGAACGAGTGTTACAACATGAGAAACCAGGTTAGACAATCTTATGTTACATGCTGAATGCTGACCTCACATAGGCGGACCCAGAGAGGCGCTCTGAGACGTTGCGGCGCGGCGGGGAGGAGCATGCATGTAGGGGAGAGTGGGGTAAGATGCCCAGGGTGGGAAAGACGCCCCACCCCCTCTAGCGACGAAACAAAGAATCGCACCTGGAAATTAATGTTCTTAGCGTAAAGCGGAAGCCTGCCTTGTTAACTGCACAAAAATTTGCGAAGCTCAGTTGGGCAACGGCTGGCTGGTGATTGCATGTTTTTTATTTGCTGCTTTCAAAAAATATTTTGGTGTCAAAACATTGCAAATATCAAAGAAGGTAGACAATTTTTGCGCCCCTTGCTATAGTCATGATACATTAACATGCGTTTACTGTGTCCCAAACAGTTTGTTTCAGGGTGTAGTTTTATGGCTAACAAATTATACTGATTTAATGTTACTTCGGTACCTACCTTGGGGTAAGATGCCCCCTGTCTTGATGGGGAAAGACGCCCCCCTAAATCCGTAGGCTGTCCTTCAAGCATCCCGTCAAATCATTTATTACATACTTGTGATGAGAGACAAAAGCCGATCTGGGACTATTGAGAGTCCAGTACGGTCGGGTGCTCCCCATGCCGGTCTCTCGGCCCACACAGCGACTTTTTGGGCGGCATCTGACTCTGAGAGCCCTCACGACGGCCTCTGTGGGCCCCATTATTGGCTCCAGGGCCCCTCACGACATCCTTTGAGGGCTCCCACGTTGGCTCCACGGGCCGCGCTGGCATCTGAGGTCCCCACGATGGGCTCGAGGGACCTCAAGCATCATGAAGAACTATAAGGGCCCCACAGTGGTCTTCGAACGCCACCACGGAGGCTTGCTTGGCCGCGCTGGACTATGATGGCCCTAACGATGACCTCTGAAGCCCCTTACGACTACTTTTGAGGGCCCTTACGATGACGTTTGGTGTCTACTGCAGGCTCGAAGGGACTACTGATTCGTTCAGGCAGGGCATATTTTAAGGATTTTTCACTGCGTCCCAAAGGTGGCATAGGGCACATGCTTTGATCGGAAAGGGCACATTGCAAGCGAAATAGTATATAATGCAAGTGAGATAATGTACAGATACATTGTGTGCTGTGCTGGTGGAGGGGCACTGCAAGCGGGATATTGGGAGCGGGCTGTGATTGCTTTTGGCCAGTCTCGAAATTCGCCCAGTCGTAGTGCGTTCTTTATCCGCATTCAAAGGGCGGACCGGCGATTTCATGACATTTACATTGTTGTTAGTCACTCGTTTTCCTGAACGACGTTGGGCGTATTTGACCCCCTTGAAGCACCAAATTGTACCTATGCTTAGAGAATAAAAATGAAAATGCACATGATTAAAATGTGATACATACGTCTCTTCATGCGTTTTTCACCCTTATCAATCGATTCAAAATAGAGGTTGACGTGTGAAACATTGCCAATTTGCATTGAAGATACTATGTGTTTGAAATAATTAGATGACGTAAGGTCAAACAGTACCCACCTAAGTTGTGACAAGAAATCATCGGATTTTAAAGCTACACAAAAAAAAATCCATCATAGATTAATGCTTTAGATGAACGGATGCTTTGGATGCTTCGGATTTCGCTTCCTTACTGCCTATCATGTAATATAACCCAAACTTTTCCCAATGGAAGTTCCTTTGTTTAATTACTATGCCCAGTAATGTGTCGATTTTGTGCCATTTCCGGGCGCTTTGGGGGGGGGGGGGAGCATGGCCCCGTGGCCCCCTCTATATCCTCCTATGGCCAGACGGCCATGACGGCCCTGATCTGACCGTATGCCATCAAATGTGAAACTTCGCAATGATGCGATATTTTTTCGGAAAACGTGCCGGTATCTCAAAAACTATGATAGCTAGGAGGACGCAATCGATAGGAGAAAAGCAATCGATATATCTTGAACAGCTCTTTCGTCAATATTTCGTCAGAATTGAGTTGAGATCAACGGTTGAGGCTCCATAGCCAAAAACGAGTAAAATTACAATTTTTGTCAATATAGGTTTCATGAAAAGCTTTTGAACTAAAAAAAGGTAGAGAATTTTCGTTTGCACGATCGTTCTTCTCTCATTTTTACCTCGAAATGTCAAGGTCAGAACTTGACCTCACATTAAGGTCATTTCGTGACCAAGATAGATCATGTCGCATATCAGTCGATGCGTTTCGATGAGGTACCTCAAAACAATGATACAATCCACTGTGCATGCAAAAGCCCTGTAGGGCCGGATTTTGGGCCAGGCTCCGGGCCTGCGGGCTCCAACTTGACATCTCTAAACAGGACTTTAGGGAAGGGCAGGACACAGAGTCTGAGCCCTAAGGACAGGGCAGGCACAGGCCATGAAGCTAAGATAAGACGGATACTTGAGGGCTGGGTAGGATGCAGGGTCCGAGGGCAAGGCAAGGCGCAGGTCTGAGGCTATCATTACACAAGGCCGGAGAGTAGTGCAAGACACAGGCGGCCTTAGAACACCTGATGATCAACACACCTGATGGCAGGGCAACATGCAGGATCTTAGAGCGGGGCAAGAAATAGTACCTAAAGGTAGAGCAAAACATAAGACACAGGTATGGCACAAGGCCCGAAACACCGCCCACGTCTTGTCATACTATACCTTCGGGCCCCGAAGGTATGACAAGACGTGGGCGGTGTTTCACGGACGCTGCTATCAAATTCCGCGAGCTGACGTCATACTTGTGGTAGTGTTTGAGCAATGGCCCTGTTGATGTCTCCATGGAAACCCAATTTGACACGTGTAATAGCAGCGTGCTGCTATCACCGGTGAAACAGGGCCAGGGTATGGGGCCTGAGGGCAGGGCAAGGCTCAGGGCATGAAGGCAGAACAAAGCACGGGTTCTGAGGACAGGTAAGGGCACGGGGCATGAGGACGGGAAACGGCACGGGACCTGAGGGCGGGAGACACCACAGGGCCTGATGACAGGGCAGGGCACAGCGCCTGAGGGCGGGCATGGGACACGAGACCTTAGGGCAATGCAGAATACAGGGCTTGAGGGCAGAGTAGGACACAGGGTCTGATGGCATGGGACGGCACAAGGCCTGACGACAGGGCAGAGCACAGCAACTTAGGGCGAGGCAGGGCACGGGCCTGAGGGCGATACAACGCATAAGGCTTAATGGCAGAATAGGGCACAGGGTCTAAGGGCAGGGCAATGCACATGAGGCCTGGAAGCAGAACATGACAGGACAGGGCCTGAGGCAGGGCAAGGCATTAGGCTCGAGGATGGGCGCGGGGCCGGGGCATGAGGACATGGGAAGGCACAAGGCCTGATGGCAGGGCAGGGCACAGTACCTGAAGACAAGGCAGCGGCACGGGGTCTGATGGCAGGACAAGTGTACAAGGCTTGAGGGCAGAGAAGGGCACGGGGCCTCAAACTAGGGTAGAGCAGGGCACGGAGCCTAAAGACGGGAAGGCAGCGCATCAAATTTCCAGGCAGAATATATAAAGTATCATGTTTGAGGGCAGGGCAGAGCGGGGCACAGGGCCTGAAGAAAGGCCAGGGCAAGGTAAAAGACCTAAGGACAGGGCACTGGGCAGGGCACATATCCTAGGGGTATAGTAGGGAAGAACATAATAAGGTGTATGACCAAGGGTAGGGCAGGGCACAAGGACTGGAGAGGGCATGTATGTGCTTAGGTACATAGTAAATCAGGGCACAAAGCAATCGGAAAGCCAACATCTTTTACACAGTAAAAGACCGAGGCATGTTACTTATTTTTGCTCGCACTTTTCGGCTGAAACCGTGGCATTTCAGTGTGGGACGCAGTGGTCCAAATTTCGCGAGGGCTACGTCCCAAAGGCAGGGGGCTGCGTCCCAAAATGGGACGCAGTCAGTATGTTAAAATATGCCCTGCGTTCAGGCGATTCACGTGCCCATTTATGTCACTTATAGTGCAGGGGGCATCTTCCCCAACGCCAGGGGGCGTCTTTCCCATCCTGTGGGGTAAGCTGCCCCCTTTCACTTCTTCGGGAAAATGCTTTATAGCAAAAAAAAGTTATCATATTTCAGGCACGAAGGTGTGATATTTTTGGAGAAAAATGATGTCGGCTTCCGTTGAAACTCCAAGTTTTTGCTTTCCGATCGTCATTTTCGAATAATATATGACATAGCAAAGCCCTGGGCATCTTTCCCCACTCTCCCCTACTTACCCCCAATAAAACTTCTCCGAATTCCAAAAACTACTCAAATTTCGATTTCCTTTCCACTGTTGTGCAGTTCAAAGCAAACTTTTCCTTCGAAAGCTGGTTTGTTTTCTTTCTTTTCTAGAAAAAAGTGCTCGTCTATTCCTGCGCCGGGGGCGGGGGGGGGGGGGCATTTACCCCAATTGCCCTTACCTTCGTAAGTGCAGAAGTCACTAAAAATGATTTAACATGAATGGTACGCAAACGTAGGCGCCTTCCTGCAAGGGTCACGACAATTTTCTCTCTTGTATCGTTATTACGCATTCATCGAAAGACATATTTTCGGAACAACTAAAATCCCATGTAACAAGCAGTCCGAATTTGGAGGGTCATGCTCTCGCTCCCCGCACCCACCGAACCATCACCACGGTCATAATCTCTCCGTCATCTCGCCTTCCATCTCGGCACCATCTCGCCCTCCATCCATTACAAATCACCGCGTGCGCCCGACGAAAATCAATTAACACGACCTCCACAATCCGAGTTCATCTCGGTGGCGGTCGCGGTGACGATGGCGAGGCAGCAGGGCCGAAAACGGCGCACCATTTTCGGGAGCCGGTGACGCGTGACGTGGGTGACGGGAGATGACGACCATGACGGCGTGACGTGGCCCGACGTGACGTGATTGGACGTGACGTGATTGATGGGATGTGACGGCTGCGATGATGGGATGTGACGGCTGTGATTGGCTCTGACACAATGGGATGGGATGCGAGTGTCAAAATTCCTATCGCAAGCATGTAGCTTAATTGAATTGCCAATGAGCCCCGGCCCCCGGACAGCCGGGCGGATCATTACAATGGTTTCAGAATCATTTATAAGCCGGGAACACCATTTATAAACTTTCGATGATTGTTCTAAATTAACAGCACCCTGTGAGGTCGCAGACGTGGAGCACTTTCAGATCCAGAGATACGTGCCGTTAGGGTGTTGTAATGTTGTATGGCCACGCCACGCTACATAAGTTTGATAATTTTCAGAACACATTCTTCATAAGATAAAACAAAACTCGATGTACAATCACAGGTCCTACCGAGATCCCACCAAAAGGGATGAATCACAGAAATCTGCTATTTTAAACGGATCAGTCAAGCTCTGTCTTATGGGTTTATCGCAACACCTACCGAAGATTCATCACCTAAGGGGATCATTGGTCTGTCGCTATCGCCGCACTTACCGGGATCATGGGTCTGTTGCCGCTAAATTACACTTACCGGGATCATGGGCCTGTTGCCACCATATTGCACTTACCGGGATCATCTGTGACTGTATCCAATACCCATCACCGTACTTACCGGGATCATGGGTCTGTTGCCACCATCGTCCGGGCGAGACGCGCACAAGATGTCCACGTCGGCCGGCGGTGGGCGGTCCAGAGATCCAGATCAAACTGCTGCTTAGATCCCGAGGTCAAGAGATCCAGGCTCGGGTCGTCCTTCTGCTCAGGCCACTGCCGAGGAGGAAAGAAGAGGCGTTAGTGGTGTCGGTTGACATTCTCTGAAATCCAGACACTGACACGTGACACTGACATGATTCACAGGCCTCGAAGAAAATGCTACATGCAAGCCCTCATGCACTGCATGTATGGTGTTCACTGTTCACCGTCCGTTTTGTGTTTTTACCAGGGCTCGAGAAGACGTGCATTGACATCAGTACCAACTGCAACATTTGGGCAAGAAGGTAGCCATAAGTCTGTGGTCACCAGTCCGGGACCTAGCACACCCGTGGCCGAAGAGGGCAGGGGCGCGGCTCAGCACGGCCTCCGGTACGGCGGCTCAGCACGTCGGTATGCACGGTGCACGGCCGGGCACGCCGTTAGCTCCGTGATGGGCCATCGACCACTTAGCGTTCTGTGGCCGCCGGCGATCGTAATCGCGTCATCATGTGGTAAAGGTGGCGGGGTGAGTGGGGTGGGATTGACCTACCGGCGGTGCGATGGGACAGGGCGGGATGGGGCCGGTCTGTCTGCCGGTGGGACAGCGGGACAGGGCGCGATGGGTCAGAGGGCTAGTCTAGATTCTAGTGGGACAAAATGGGCCTGTTGTGATCTGGTAGGGCGGAACGTGATGATCGACAGCCGAGGGGACATTGCGAGGCAAAATGTCGTTTTAGTGGGAACCAGGAACAGATATAGTCAAGTGGGGGCAGTATACTGCCGAATATGGACCAAAAAGCAATCTAAAATGACGCCATGACGGCATGAAGCATGAGGATACATCGAGCCTCGAGTGCACCGAATAAACAACGAGACCGCATGGGTGCCAAGAGATCTGGATAGACTCTACTGACAACCGGCAACAATAAAAAAGAGGAGTAAGTCCAGCGACATTGTGTGACGAACCACCGCAATAGCTATTCTGAATACCACAGTACGCAAGCTTCCTGGTCGGAACTCGTAAAACACAAGCTATCGTAATTGTATCAACATGCAATTCTAAATAATATTTACCAGTACATTGTCATGCGAATGCCATTCCAGATGAGATCACTAACTTTTAGATTTGAAGTTAGCCGGTCCCTTTCAAGCTCTAAAACATTTTTGAGCAAGATAAGTATAAAGGAATAAAAATGACTGACACAACACATTCGAAAACACCGGGAAAACATCCAAATGTGTACCGTACAGACGGTACAGGTTTGAATTTCGGTCAACATGACAACTGACATAACGCGAATATTGTCATTGAATAAAGCACACCGACTGCCATACGGGTGGCAAGTTAAAGAAAACCTGTTCGTCGTTCATCGCATTTCACCTTTTACGCTACATATGGGATTCCAAGCTATGTCATAAGCTCTCATCGCTACTGAATAGCAGCAGATGTCACCGAGCGGCCGCCGCTCCTTCCCGGGCAATACCACCTAATGGACGTGTTTGCTCCATGATAACACCGGCACTCTCCGAACCGACCGGCCACTGGCCAGGAAACAATGACACCAGCCCAGAGACCACCTGCCTGCATCGATAAACTCGACAGCCATTAGCAGAGCAAATGACAGGAGATGGTCAGCCCGCCCACAGGTGCTCGGGTATTCATTGGTTTTCATGAGGAGCAGACGGTAAATGTGTCTGACGAGATGATGAATTCGAAGAAATTCCGAAGTAGGATACATTGGGCAGACACTCAGCTGTCCACCTTAGAGACACAGTGACCTACCTACAACGCGGTGAACAGGGTACAATAATTACAGCAAATGCAGGTACTTGTGGTCACTTGCACACGGCCTTTCGTTCCAAAGCTTGCCAAATGCTAATTATAATCGTGCAATGGACATTTATCGTCAAATTGGGTTAACTACTAAATAAGGGGAGCATGGGATCGGCAGACCGACAGATAAAAAGACAGACGACCAGAGAGGCCACCGCGCCAGCCGGAAACGGTCGGGACAGGGCGGGGCGGAACAGGGGACAGGGGATGAGGCCGGATGTGAGGGTGACACCCACCCAGCCCAGGTTAGTTTGGTGAGCCCCACCCTGTCTGTGGCAGTCACAGGTAAGCAGATACTTTTTATCTTTTTTTTGTTTATGGCATGACCTGATTACTCTGGTGTTCAAAGATATGTGGTGTGTAAGTTGTATAAATGCTACCAGTGCAATGATACATAGACCAAAATGCCATTAAGTCCAAAATTGACCGTGACAACAGCGATCACAGGTGCGGTAAGGTCAAGAGCACATATTCGCGCCGTAAGTCGGCACAGAAGAACACATCGCACAATGGAAGAACCCGTGCAGTGGTAGGGAATGAACAGGCCATATGACACCCACGGAAGCCGTATATTTAAATGATAGGGAGGCATTGTTTTGAGCATGCATACAGGGTACATGACCAGACCATTACGAGGAACACGATCTCATGATGACTAAATCCAGCAGCAACTGGATGATGAAGTCACATCGTCGAGTTTAAATTGTCTGTGATGGGCCTGGATGCTGCAGCATTTAACAGTGTCATTGAAGGCATCGCCACGTTAACCCGTGACGGCGTTCAGTATGCCTGCACGTCCCCCGCCACAACACGGGCATTAATTAGTGACAGACGGTGAGGCCATCCCTCCAGCAGGTCGCACCTGGACAGTGACGAAACCACTGTGCATGTCCCAAGACCCGGGATTTTGAGCAGTAAAAAATGAATTGAAGACTAGCGAACTGTCTTTGATAGCAGCTGAACACAAACAACAGGAGAGAACAACGGATTTGGCGGAATGTCTTGAGTTTTTATTGTTAATCAATATAGGGTAATGGCGTAACCTTTCCCGAAGGGAAAATAATGCAACAATTCCTTTCAGGATATCACCGTTGCGTTCATTTTTGTTGTTACGGTTCGGCAGGTGCGATTGGTATAGGTATTTTCCGCATTTCATGGCGTGCAATTCGAATTTACTGGGCCAGTGGTCTGACTGTGTAGCAATCCAATAGTCTTATCATGGACCCTGGCTTATCCAGTTCACCTGTAAAGGCGCAAAATAAATACAGTTATACTCCAAAAGAACCTTGTCATTCGAAAGCAGGTGTGTAATGTTTAGGGTTACATTAAGTCACAAGGTGTACAGATATTTGCTTGAGCCAGCGCTATCCAGCGTTACTACTGGCCTGAATGGGGCGAATCAGGACAGCACCATAAACCGATGACGTTATGTATTACATCACTATTACACCCACGATGTATCAGCCAGCAGGTAAACTCCTCAAACACTGCAGTCTGCTGCTGGGTATAAACTTCCCGAAAGGAAAACCGGCCCGGTCCGGGCTGTCTGGAGGCTTAGTGCCACACCTGTACCTGGTGACAGCCCACCAGGCCCCGGACGGGCACGGCACACAAGTAAATATACAGCTGTACGACTCGAGTCCCGTACTGAGGTAACTCGCGGAGAAAGTGGAATTCACGGCACTTCAGTGACCGCGAGCGCAACAACGATGCATTGTTCATGAGACAGAAGGCAATATAATGCATGGCTGAACACCCACTCAACTAGAACTATACAGTAACTGTTACAAAACCTCCCCTTCTGTACACCACTGTCTCAATTATAATAAAATCACGTTCGTCTTTTGTAGCAGACTCACGCGTATGTATTGTATTGTATGTATTGTATTTTTATGAATACAATACATACATACATACATACGCGCGCGCTGGTGGCTGTTCAAATGGACAGCACTCGCCGCCGACCGGTCCCGCGGCGCGCCACGGTCAACACGGCTGCAGTGCCGGCGGAGGGCCGGTTTTGGCGCCAAACCGCACCCCCACGTGGCCCAGCCAGCCAGCCAGCCGGCCGGCCCACCGCCGCCGCCGCCGTCGTCGTCACGTTGCACGGTCCAACGCCGCCAGACAGCGGGTGAAGCGAGAGAGACCTTGGTAGCGAAGACGTGCGAGAGCGACCGTCAGTTCAGAATCAGCGCCCGTCGCCGGTTAGACTGCATGGAGACATTGCCATAAACTGCCGAGCGCGGGAGGAAGATGGACCACGTCCCATGATCAGAAAGACGAGTACGACCCGCCACCGATCTCCAGGCGAGATAGACTGCAGGCAGGGTGCAACCAAAGACCGAACAAACCTGATAATTAATTGTGGAATACAGAACTTTGAGACGTTCCAGAGCTGAAATCACGCGTCTGCGATGTGGTATTCTGAATAAGCACCAAGTACACACAATAATCTCAAGGTATCATTGCCACTCCCATTGCCGAGGTCACCCGTAAATACTAAGCCACCAATAACCATCATCGTCTCCCTCCCTCCCATTGTCACCTCTGTCCGTACTGGAGTGTCTCCACCGACCGGCGCCTGTTTTCCACGACCTCTGTGACCTCCCGGCCGTGACCCGAGCTGACCGGGAGGAGATCACCCCTCCCCCTCGGCCGTCCAGCCGCAGCCGATGGCCGTGGGTCGATCTAGGAAGACAAACAGCCCCGTTTGTGGTCTGTGAAGCCGATCGTGATCAAGTCTCCGTCAGCTGCCCGTCACGAAAGTCTCACGGTCGTCATTTGTGCAACAAGGGAAGGATCCTGGTGACAAGATCGTGACCACAGTTCCTCTGAACATCGCCAGCCTTGTCAGGCCAAACTACGTCTTTGTGATAACGAGCCCGCAAACCCGAAACAAACAGCTACAAATTCGTTGAATATCATATCATCAAGGCCTCGAGTTGACTTGTTGATCTCACCTAACCTGACCCGACCTGTCTATTCAATACCGCGAAAACCACTGCGAATGAGATATCGTTTGCCCGGCACTCCACATCCAGTCAACAAGGAGCGAGATACCAAGAATTGCTGGCTCGCTGCCAGGATCCGGCGGGGGGGGGGAGGTGGAGGGCCTCTGCACCCCTCCGTGTCCATGGCGGCGTGCAACATACCGGCGCGGCCAGGGCCGAGGTCGACAGTGACGCGCCGATTCTGGAGGTCAGTTGTCGGCCGGTCCCGAGCGCTGCCGCCGGCCCAGAGGAGGCGACAGGTAGCCGGAGAGGAGGGGAGAGGGAGGAAAGAGGGAGGGAGACAAGAGAAGCAGGGAGATGGTGAGATAGACGTGGACGGATGTGAGGGGAGTGGAGGGGTGATAAGGCAAAGTTACGTGCTCTGAGACAAAACGACATGGTTTGAACAGGAGGCAGAAAACACAAAAAAGCCACATAACCGCTGGATGTGGGGCGAAATTTGCGGGTGATCGAGGCGAAG